AGATGTGTATAAGAGACAAGGGATAGGATATGTAAATAATGGACTGAAAGTGTAAAGTTCCTGGCCTTTCCAAGCTTTCAGGTCCTGCTTTCCAATATGCTATGTGTACTGGTTAATTTATTATCCCTCTAGAATTCCACACTGGCGATGAGAGCGCTTGTAAAATGTAATGTAATATGCATTTGCTTGTAAAAATTAAAATATATCGTAAAAGGAAAACAAAATCAGTTTCTGGCATTAACTCAATTGAATTTTTTCCCAATAGCACTGTTTAGCACGATCACATATTTTTGATCGTGCAAATGTTGCACGATCAAGTAGTAGAGCCATCGTTCTATGCGGGAGCACAGCCATGCACCACCAATTTTGAGCACCAATAAGCCCTGAATCGAACGCCTTGGATCTCTCCGGACCTACACCAATCAGCCGTGCACCACTCGGCTTTGTCCTCTGGTAACATTGACCGGCTTGGAAATTATGTTAAAATTACCATAGGTACCTATATAACATATTTTATGTTTGATATACCTATTAATGTTTTTTTCTTTATGTTTCAGACTCTACAGAGTCTTATATATGGTAATTTAAACTTAATTTCCAAACCGATCTATGTTACCCCGTCACAGCTGCCATTAGGTGGTCACATTTTGCCCATTTGGGGGCGGCGCCCCCCATTTGCAAACTATGACACTTTCCTAAAATCTGTCTTTTGTATATGTAACTAGAAGAGTTCTACTACAATGCACCACAAAATGGAGTTATTTGGAGTTATTTTACTAAAAAATAAAATTGATTTTACCACCCGGTCAAAGAAACCCCAAGAGCTGGGGTAACAAAGACCATTACTTTTTTTTAAATTACATCAAAACTATGACAGGCAGGAGCCAGCAATTTATGGTGAGTAAAGCTAGAGTATAGACCTGTATTTTGCATGTTTCAACTAAGTTTAACTTATCTAGTAAAAAAATGGCATCATTTTGAAAAAAAAGGTTAAAGTTACCCCATTTTACGGTACCGACTAGAAGGAATGAATGATGAGAGTTGGGCTTGAGCGATGAGCAGGCTGGAATTCTAAGAATGGAAGTTCACTTCTAAAAAAGCTTTCCTCCCAAGGTGAAAAGCTTTCCTTGGATACAGTGCTCTGCCAGCCTGCCAGGAGACTGACTAAATGATAAAATACTTTAAAAAATATTTAAAAAAAAAACACAGTTTTTCTTGTGGACTAAAAAGTAGAAAATAAATTATGGCTTGCCCCAAAAATCGTGTGTTGGGCAGATTTATGATTAATGCGAAAAGCACACAACACACGAATTTTGGAAATTTTATGGTGAATGTACAGCCTGACCCACGTTTTTTGGGGCGAGCCATAATTTATTTTCTACTTTTTAGTCCACAAGAAAAATGTATTTTTTTTTAAAAAGATTTTTTCAAGTATTTTATTTTCTCCTTTTTAGTCCCTTGCTATAGTTTATATTCTACTTTATCTAATGATTTGATTAAGTATGACTTGACGTACGTATCGATGATACGCAGCGTCAGCGCCTGCTCGTCTATAACGTCAGCACCCGCACGTCATGCTATATATATATATTATGTAAATACTTTACTCAATCAAGCTAATTTAGGTCTCTAATTGCTAGTTTTTATGATTGTATCTGAAATTGTTAGGTGAAAATAGCCTGCATGCCGAATTCCAGATCTCTAGAACAATTAGAAGTGGGCTAATTTTTGTTGTCAATGTTAACAACAAACAAACAAACAAACAAATGCGAAGCAAGGCTAAGAAAAACGTGTTAAAAAGGAGGATCAAAAGTGGACAAAATGTTTCAATTGTATAGTACATTAGATTTGTATTAGAATTATTTTGATGTCTCGTGTTTGATAGATATTTTTTATTTGTCTTTCATTTAATGGATTTTTAAAAAATTTCCAGGCCTTTTGTTTGTAATGATCAAGTTTCAGTTAAGTATTTAGTTAACCAGTACTGTAGTACATATACCATACTTGGGGGCGGGGCTTATGGGCACAACCAAATGAACCAATCACAGCTTGAAAGCATCCCCATCAACCAATCACAGCTTGAAAGCATTTGCATCAACCAATCACAGCTAGAAAGCAGATAATACATTACAATT